GCTTCTTCAATGTCCTGTATCCATCTTAGCGGTGGTCGACCCCTGCCTTGCCTCCCACAAACTGTACACTTCATCACTGTCTTTTCTAAGCCACCATGACGCTTGATGTGGCCAAAATACTTCAACTTTCTGGGCAGGATGCTGTTTATGAGCCAGTTCTCCCTGATGTTTAAATAATTTAGAATGTCTATGTTTTCCCTCTCTTGATAAATGGTATTCTAAGAATTTTTCTATAACATTTCAATCCAAAAGCTTCAGGTTTTTTCCTCAGTGACTGAGTGAGAGTCCAGGACTCGCAACCGTAAGTTGCCACAGGAAAAATGCATGATCTCAAGATTTGTACAGTGGAACCTCGCTTAACCAGCATAATTAGTTCTAGAATCATACTCGTAAAGCGAAACACTTGTTAAGCGAAACAATTTTTCTTATATAAATTATTGTAAAATACGATAATGCGTTCCATATCCCAAAAATACTAACAAAATTTTATGTAGAACGTTTATTCAATTAAAATTATATACATATTGTTAAGGAGAGTGAATCATCTTCATCTTTTCTTCCACTGCGTAACGAACCCACCTTGAATGCGAATTCGATTAGCAGGAAAAAAAAAAATCGAAAGAATCATGAAACATACCTAATTATTTTTTACTAGAAATATGTCCAGAGACGTTTGTTTTTGCGACGCTTCAAAATTTGCGACACAGAAGTATCATTAAATCCTTATTGGAGTGATGCTTCTCAATGTAAGATGCAACAGTTTCCTATGCTTTCAGTATGCCTCTTTTTTCACTAGAAGATTGTTGACTTTCTGCTACTTCCTCCTCCTCCTCCGACAAACATTTCTCTAAAACTTCTTGCTGTGAAACACAATGCAACTCCATAAGCTCTTCGGTGGTGAGCTTTTGGCTGTTCTCTTCCACAAGCTCTTCGATATCACGGTTATCCACCTACAATCCCAAGACAGTGTTAAAAGACTACAGGTTGACTACAGGTTTCACAGATACCGTCTCGAACACCTCAAAGTCACAAATCGACAACGCTGTCCGGCCAAAGCTGCTTTCAAGCAGAAGTTAGGGTTCTCTTGATAACTCTTTCCCACGCCTTGTCGATCATCTTGAGGCAGGCAACGATGTGAAAGTGATTTTTCCAAAACTTTTTGAGAGTGAGGTTGGTCCCTTCAGTCACCTGAAAACAATGCTCAAAGAGTGCTTTAGTGAAGAGCTTCTTAAAATTAGAAATAATTTGCTGGTCCATGGGCTGGAGTAACGGAGTGGTTTTAGGAGGCAGAAACTTGATCTTGATGAACTTAAATTCTTCAGGGAGGTCATCTTGTAGGTCTGGAGGATGGGCAGGAGCGTTATCCATAACAAGCAAGACATGGAGTGGCAGATTCATCTCAAGCAAATATTTTTTCACAGAAGGACCAAACACTTCCTTGATCCACTCAGTAAAAAGGTCACGTGTCACCCAAGCCTTCCTGTTGGACCTCCACCTCACATTAAGCCTGCTCTTCTGGATTTTGTATTTATTGAAGGCTCGTGGAGTTCCTAAATGGCAAACACGCGCTGTTTAATTTTCAAATCGCTGCATTGGTTTGATTTGGTAGTTTTGCTTTGGATTGCTAGTTACACTGTATTACAACATCATGTTTGTTAGCCCATAGGATGAACAACAGACAAATGTTTGTTAGCCACAGCGTGAACAATAGACAACAGACTAGCGGGCCTCACTAAATCGCTGCTTGAATTGGCACAAAATAGCAACGTGAGACGGTCTTTCATTGGCTTGTGGCCGAGCAATGCATTCTCTTTTGCTGTTATATACGTTCGCTTCGGCATCTTTTTCTAGAAGAAATCTGTTTTATCACAATTAAAAACCTGTTGCGGCAAGTAACCTTTAGAACCTACGGGTGTCTTGAAATCGCCGATGAAGTTCTCGGCTGCTTTGTTGTCGGAACTTGCTGCTTCGCCGTGCCTCACAACGCTTTGGATGCTGGTTCTCCGCTTGAACTTCTCGAGCCACCTACGGCTTTCCTTAAATACTTCTACGTTGATGATCCTGACGTCTTCTTAACGAGGTCGTCGTAAATCATTTTTGCCCTCTCACAAATGATGTTCTGGCTAATAGTGTCCCTTTGCAATTGCTTTTCATTTATCCAGACGAGAAGCAACCTTTTAACATCGTCAAGAATACGTTACCGTTGCCCAGATATTCTTGTCATTCCCTGTGAAGCATCTATATCCTTAATCTTGTCCTTGTTCTTGAGGATAGTGCACATCCTTAATCCTTCATTTCTATGGTTATTTTTACACTCTTATGGTTTTTTTCTTGCAGCTTTTTCTTCGGGAACATTTTTGCAAGGGTTTGTTAAATTTTTCACACACAAAATTGCAAATCTTTTCCTAATTTATCTTCCTAATAATTAATTCAAATATTTTCTATTTATATACATATAACACGTTTGAGAAAATGTGTGATCACAAGCGACACTACAATGCTACTAGAACGAGTGCTAAACACAGACTAATGTAACATGCGCACAATCCGGGACTTCCCCTCTCCTCGCCACTCGTTAGGCAAGTCATTCTTTTATAATTTGTTTTGCTCGTTATGCGAATTTCTCGTTATGAGAGGTGCTCGTTAAGCGAGGTTCTACTGTACTTTAACCAATTTACAAGCGCTTTGCCATAGGTTCTTTATGCCGTTTAATCTCTGCACTGCTAAAGCAAGTCTTTTTCTGACGTCTTTCGAGCAATCGCCACTGTTGTTCACTATAGAGTCCAAGTATTTGAAATTTGTTACATCTTCTATTTTTTTCATTTTTGATTGTGATATGTGGTTGGTGTGCTGAATTTACCTAAGACATTTTTTTTTTCAATTCAGAAAAAGATTAACTTCTTGGCTGTGCTTTTTGACGGCCAGAATTAATTTTTCTAAGCCTTGTACGCTGTTGGAAAAAAAAAGTGTCTGCATATTTGAGTTCTGTGATAGGATTACCTGAAACCATTCATATTTATTTCAAAAAACAGAGGTGGCGGCATTTGACCAGATATCTTTCCCCACCTAGTAACTATCCAGACTTCTTGGGAGGAAATCTTCCCTTTTTAAAATTACCAGCAGTTTAACAGCAACTATCTTGTCAACATTTTTGTAGAGCGATCATCCTAAAGCCGTTGAGTCTTCAGTTTCCATTACCTGGTTTTGAGAGTAGGATTAAACAGCTCTGCGTCCAGTCGTGGCGTACTGATTTTGTTCCAAGGCTTTGGCTGAAGGAAAAAGCCATCTCCCTCACGTCTCCATAACTAATATCCTTAATCTGATCCCATCTGATATCAGCAGGAATGAATCTCAAGGTCTCACAATGTAAAGAAGCCAGCGAGAAGAAAATATTGTTGGTGTCTTTAGCTTGTTTCGCTACAACTTCTGTAATTTCTACGTGCGACATCCTCATAGAAATGATCCTTTATGATTTTCGAAAATTCAATTCTAATTAAATCTCTTATTTCTTTATCAGTATGACCTATCTGAACTACAAATCTCTGTAGAAATGCTTTCCCTTTTTCTTTACTTCCAAAGACATATTGGCATCTCTGTATGCTGTGAAATACATTGTACATGAGAAAGCAATGAGCTTGTGTGCAGGCTTCTAAGATAGTGAGACCAATGATAGTGATAATGATAGTGAGATCCCAGAAATGTACAGAGATAGGGAATGAATTAATGAATCTAGAATTGAAATCACTGCACTCAGGACCATCCCACAGGTGCTCCGTCCCCTTCTCCGGTAACCAAAGAAGAGTAAACCTGCCAATAGTACCAGTACAGAGATAGGAAGACTAGTGCTGGTGATGGTGATAGTCAGATGAAGGTAATTGACAGAGGTATCTAAACTTCTGAAATAATTTGACCAGAGGGGTTAAGGTTGTGAAGAAAATTGATAAAGCGGTTTTGTTTTTTCCCCACACCCTAGTAAGATGGCGTCAGTAAAATAGAGGGAGTAGACCGTGTTCACAGATATTCTCTAAATGTCCTATAAACCGACAAGCCTAGCCTGGTCCCAGAAAACTTATATCAGGAGGCCGCTAGCCTTTATGAAATCTATCCTGCAGTCCATATCCTCTCATGTACCATATAGCTTTGTCTTCATTGTGGTTGGAACAGGCCAGATTGCGTCTCTGTTGTCAGCATACAGTTGATAGTGTTGGAGCACATGCTCAGCATTTTTGGGTGCCACGCTGCACGGACATGTCTCCGTGTTTCCTACTCTGAAAAATGTGAACATATGTTGACGAGTGTCCAAAGTGATGACCACTGATGGTCATCTGAACTGGTTGGGATCCTATGCTCCATTACTAGGATTAAGGCAGAAGAAGAATGACCACTGAAATGGAACCAGTTCAGCACATCCCAGATGAGTAGGAATTATTTTACGTGTCCATTGACCCAGAAAGAACTATAAAGCCACAAAGAGTGGAAAGACACAGGAATTAGCAGCGACAGTAGAAGAGAACTGAATCCAAAAAAAAAAAAAAAAAAGACATGAGGGGTATCTTTGTATCTTTAATGAACGTGGGCAAATCTGTTACCTGTGATTTAAAAATGCCGTCCGGAATGCATTCACAAAAACACCTGAATAAGTCTAATGTTTGATGTAGTCGTGTGTGTGTGCGTGCGCGTTTCTGCTGGTCTGTCTGTAGTATGGTTTCAAATCTGGACACCACAAACCAAGATTACTTACATGCACTTTTTAAAAGCAAACTGGCACAATGCCACCAGTTTTCGGTTTTATCTAAAAATTCCATGACTGTGCACTTTTTCACAACTTTCTTAGACTGCACGTGTCAAGTTCCAGATCATGCTGTTTTTTTTTTGTTTTTGTTTTTTTGTTCATTTATGTAAGAACATGTTTACTTATATCAGGGAACTATGCCCTAGCATCGTTAATAAAAGGACCAACATTTCTAGTCCAAAATACAATTGAAGACTTTACTACAGAA